GCTGAGGAATTCTGGGAGTTGAAGTCCACAAGTCTTAAAGTTGTCAAGGTCGGACACCCCTGATTTAAACCATCTCTAACAAGTACTGAAAGGAATCCTAGATGACATTGATAATGTCGTAATACAAGTCAAGAGACAAAGATGTGGCTGCATCATTTCTTTCAATATATCTTATGGGAACTGAATTACTGAGCTGTTCTAAATATAATGTGACTATAATGATAATTCATTAGAATGAATAAAATACATGTATTTCTTTCCACCCTTTCCTTCCATGGGAAGTTTCAAAACATGACTTCAGTCTAATAATATTGTAGTAAATGTTTCATTCTACCTACATATCACCTGTTACATATTACTTCAAATATATATTCACTTTTAAAGATCAACATGCTGCTGAATTTTAAGGATGATAAAAATGATTGTCCTTGTCCTGAAGAAATCAGGGATCATCTCCTGGATTTTCATGAAGATCTGATGGCACATTGCGGTAAAGCTGAACTTTGAATATTCTTTCCCTGCTCCAAATATTAAAGAAAATAAAATACTGATAGTTTTATTGAACAAAATATGGTAGATTGAAATATTATTCTAATACAAAGACTTAAAATTATATTGAATACAGTGTTAAAACTGCAGTATCCATATTGTCTTCAAGAACCTGCTGTCTCATGTAAAAACAGATGCCTTGATCTAGCTTTAGGGAAATCATGTTGAGCCTCTAAGATAAAATTGGCAGGACTTGGCCAATTTTTTTTTTCCAGAACTAGGTTTGGAATTTGAAATGTAGTCTCCGTAATATTGGCAGAGTATAGCACACGCCTTCTGCCCCTGGTTTACCATTAGGATGCTCTTTTGCAATGCCGAAAAGGACACGTTATGTGAAGTTATACGTCAATAAATGATGTTCTTGAAAATATTAATCAAATTATGGTAGCTATATTGAAAACTCTTAATGATTTTTTGGAATCAACATTCACTTCATTTCTCTAATTAAAAGATTGATTTATGGAATAGTCAAAAATTATAGCCAGGCATGATTTCAAATAATGAAGCACTGTATTAACTTCTCTCAAAGTTCTGAAGATAGTCTTGGAAATGAATACAGATAATATTGTTTAGTTGTTTTAATGCTGTCATAAATATTTGATATTTATGTCTAGGTATTCAGCTTGACGAAGATGGAATTCTAGATGGAAACAGTGATTTAACTATTAAAGGTCGCCTGCTATATCTTGTAGAAAGAGTCACACACTTGAAAAAGAAACAAGCAGAGAAGCTAGTTGATGATAATAACAAGAAACCATGTAAGTAAAGTAAAATAAGGTTTAGTTGTTACCTGAATCTAAAGTAAGCATAGTTTAATAATTCTCTCATTCTGATACTATAATCTCTTTCAGAATTAAATGTCTATAAATTCAGTATTTTAATTTTTTATATTCTGAAATTATTGCATGTTCTGGAACATAATACTACGTTCAAAAGTGCTGACTAAGAAGCTGTAGCTTCTGGCAAATCCTTATTGAACAGATGGGATGCAAAACAAGTGGAATTCAGATAGGCTAACGAAATACTGAGCAAATGAGTAATTTTCCACTAGTAAGGATGCATTAATGTGTGTTTCTGGGTGGGGGAATAGGTGTATGGTCTTCGGGAGGGAATGAAAATGATGCGTGCAAGGATTTACTTACACTAAATTCTTTACTTCTTTCTTTCTGGAAGTTTCATAGTTAGGGCAACTCTCTTCTGCAATGTGACCCATCAGATTTTATATACATTTATATATTTTAATTTTTATTCTGGAACACATATGCATAGGAATGATGGTCATTGCATGACAGCAGTTTATCATATTTTCAGTTTCCTTTTCTCATCATTATTTGATAGGTGATTATTATATTGACATTCATCCATTTGCTTTATAAATTCAATTGGTTAAATGATTATTTTCAGTTTGTAATTTTGTTTTAAAGATTTTTTTTTTTATTATGATCCTTTAAAAAATAATTTGGATTTTTCTAGCCCAAAATCTAGTGAAGCAACTCTTTCTTCATCTCCAATTGACTCTGTACTTTTTACACATATAATTTCTAATTTGATTATGTATTATTTGATAATTTGCTTTTTTCAGAAATTAATCGTTCTGAATTTCTAGTCCAAATTGGCATAGCATGTGATGATTATTGTTAAAAGTGAAAAAAAGGTCTTGTTGTATGTTTGTCTTAATGCTTTCTACATCTAGCAACTCTCCAACAGCTGATATCAGAAACTATGGTACGTTGGGCTCAAGAATCTGTAATAGAAGACCCAGAGTTGGTGAGAGCCATGTTTGTTTTGCTACACCGCCAATATGATGGGGTTGGTGGCCTAGTTCGAGCCATGCCCAAGACATATACTATAAATGGTGTATCAGTGGAAGATACCATCAACTTGCTTGCATCTCTTGGCCAGATCCGTTCTCTCCTCAGTGTTAGAATGGGCAAAGAAGAAGAGAAACTTATGATTCGTGGATTAGGGTAAAACCTTCCTTTCTACTGATAATCTAAAAGTTGTATAATTGCCTTTGGTTGATTACTAGCAGAGAAGACAGTGATAGAAGTTTATTCTCATAGGCTTCAAAGAATTCACATTGTAGATAAGTAGGCTAATATATGAAACAAAAAACTAGAATACTGCTTATTTATAATTAATTTTTATGGCTTCTGACTCAAATTGAAATAATCCAAACAATGATCGGGTTCCTTGAGAACACATGATAATATTTGGAAATTTCTTTCTTTTTTTTAAAGAACGAAAAACCAAAATATTGGTGTTTTGTATTTTAACTTTTCTTGAATGAATTAAATATTATTCTAAAAATATATATACTATTTGATAATTTCATGGGGGAAATATAGATAAGATATAGGAAATGTGGTTTTTTTAATATATTAACCTTCTTTTTAAGGTTTCTGAGATCAAAGTAATATGTTTTCTAGACAACTTAAACCATAATGCTTTCTTCCTATAAATCAAGCATATCAGTATCACATTTTTCATCTCTTTATATATTGATTTTTAAAAGTCTGGCTTATACAACAATATATGATTTTTTTAAAGATCTCCTAGAAATAATTCTACATCATCCATATTCAATAGACAACAGCCCTGATTTAATTTAACTGATGAGCCATTAGAAAATAGCAATCTTTTTTTCCCTTGAAGAGAATAAACCAGTGGAATTCAGATTAACAATCAAAGAGACGTAAAACCTGCTTTTTGCAACTGAATGTGTTGTTTTCATTTCTCATATTGTTATTTTATTTTTGAATTGTTATATGAAAATATTTCGTTTTCAACTAAAATTAACTAAAAGAATCCTTGCCCATACTTTAGCGGTTCTCAAATATTTTGATCTTAGGACCCCATTTTATTTGAAAAGTAGTAATGATAACTCCTTTTTTTAAAAAAAAAAACTTTCTTTATGCTGTCACTTGAATTCACAGAGTTTCAAAATTCAATCTAATTCACCAGTTTATGTAAATGTGTTCATTTACATCATTATATTGAGGAAGAGAGAAGGATGGTGTTCAGAAAGCCTTCCTAGGAGCTTTGAGATATGTTCAGGCAGAGTGGGAGTGATGTGTGAAACCCCAGTGATTTGCTTGTGACCCTTCAGTTTTAGAATATCTATTCTAGGATACTTTGAATAAATTTCAGTTTTTTATTTTTAAAAACCACATTAAATGGTATGGATTGGACAGTAACATTTTATAACTAGATATAAAAGGATTGAGATTTCAATTTACTTTTTCTTTTTTTACTATTTTTCTATTTCTAATAGGGACATTATGAACAATAAAGTTTTTTATCAGCATCCTAATCTTATGAGGGCATTGGGGATGCATGAGACGGTCATGGAAGTAATGGTGAATGTACTTGGAGGAGGAGAATCAAAGGTAATGTATAAGCATGATATACATCTTAATTTTGGCTCTAATGCCAGACAAAGTTGCTTAACTCTTGTTGAAGACAATATCATATTTGGTTTAATTTGGGAAATTTGCAAATTTGCATATTTAATAATGGTTATCTACGTCTAAGAATGATAAATAAGTTTAAATAATTCTGTTGTAGCTGCAAACAGAGCAATCACTATTAAGTAAAGGTTTATATATGGATTTCAGTTCATTATGAAAGTTCTGAACATTACCCGGTTTCACTAAGAGCTTTCCATTGCAAATTTTCAAATTAATATTGTCCTCGCCAATAGTCAGAAAGAATCTGGTAGCATCTTTTAAGAGTAACAAAGTTGTTAATAGCCTTTTCTGACCTGTGGCTTATTTCATCAGAGATATGAAGTGGCTTAAAGGAGGTATGATTTAAATTTATTGGAATGAGCAAGGTTGGATTTATTGGTTGTCTGTATTCAAGTAAGAATCTATCACCAAATGCCTCAGAAAGTAGAATGCTTGCATCTATTGTAGTATACTTATTAAAAATGCATCGAGTGGCTTCAGTTATGAGCTGCAGGTCAGCAGAAATCTGTTTTTGTGGTTTCTCCCTGGGAATAAATCTAGCTCTATTGATTTGTGTATTGATCTTGTTGAATGTTTTGTTTAATTCCATCAGTTAGCTATCTTTGCCTCATGAGTCAGAACAAATGTGATTGTAATGTAGATACTGGCTACAGAGAGCAGTTTGGATGATATATTCTAAATGGAATCTGGAACGTGAAAGTATGCATGTCAGTCTATACGTTCCTGTTTAACATGATGTTTTTGAATCAGGTAATTGTAGTATGACATAAATGTAGTGGTTTTATTCTGTAGAGTGGAACAGGCTTAGGCTGATGGTGTCATGGTCTTAATGGAACAATGAGAACATTAACTTAACATAAGTTCCATTAAGGTTTGATGATTCAGAACTGAAGAAACATTTTTCTAGGTCAATCATTAATATGTTGGCATATTGTGGGGCTATGGGTGCACATCCAGTACCTCAGCTGAATTTTTTTGCTTACCAAATGATTCCCAGTTAAGTTTTTCTCAGACAGTGGGAGCAATAGATAGTCTGAGCTATTTAATGATAACCTGGAAGTGACCACTTTATCCATGTTGATGCTAATTGTCGTGTATTTCAGTTCATGAAATTAGATGCCCAAATTTTATTAAAATAAAATTTTACAGACTTTACAGGGACAGTTTATTTTGTAGAACTATAATTAGCTCTAAACTGGCCCTTTATCCAAATGCTAATATACTGTCTGAACTCTATGATTTTGATGGGAAGTGGAATTGGTCTCTCTCTGTGTGTGCATTTATCAACTATTGAGGTCACCACTGTATATAAACTAGTTAGCAAACATCTGTACTTAGATGCATAATTACATTTCTGTGTGGGTTATTTTTCCATTTCTTTCTCCATCCTCCATCAAATGATAAGTACAATATACAATTTGGCTGTGATCAAATGAAGAAATATGTGCAAGTGAAAAATGAAACTACAATAGCATATTTCTGAACCTTCTGTTTCCAGCTGGTCATTAAAATTAAGTCTACACAGGATATATTTTTAGGAATGTGTACATTAATTGGCATACATTTCAATGTGTTAATATTGTCTAGTGTGCATTTATTTGAAAGGATATTGAAATACATCACTTTAGTTATTTGTTACCTTTTTGATTTCTGCAGGTAAGCTTCTATATAGATAAATGTAGAGATACTTAATGTTGAATTCTGTCTACTTACTAAGGAAAAGTCTAGTGAACAATGACTACTGAAACCAATTGTGAAGAGAACTTGTGGCATGGGCTGGCCAAACATTTATGCAAGGAAATAGTGAGAGAAAGGGGGAAAAGGTTGAGGCAATACTTTAATTTCATGTCACAGTTGTGTCCTGTCATATAATAACAGGCATATGATGATGGAGAAGGTCAGCAAGCTTAATCGGCTGACTTTATCTTAATTGGCTGACATTAAAACATTTCAGAAAAATTCAGCAATAATTCTAAAGTGTGAAAATGGGGTTGGTAGTAGAAGCAGTTAAGACTGTATTATCTAAGAGATAGAGCTATCATGGTCATTTTCAAAGAAGGGATTACTTGAATCACTGAGATGGGTGGCTTTCAAGACTTTCATTATTGACCTCTGAGGTGTTGTTCATAGATTACATACTCTTATACAGAATAATCCTGTTGCAGTGTGATCTTAAAAATCATTTTGGTAATACCTTGCCTAGTTGCAGATTATTAATGAATAGATGGGATCTAGGTGGAAGTTACTCCAACAGACCATACATTTGGTCTAACATACGCTTTGATCCTAGGAAATTGTTCTACCTTTCATTCTGCCAATAACAAAATTTAGAATTAAATTTATGTTGGGCAGTAAATTTGATGGAAAAGTCTTTCTTTGAGCAGAGGGAAAGTTTTGAAGGTAGAGGGATTGAAACTATAGAATCTGCATAAAAAATGAGAACATGGAGGGGGATTTTTCAAAGCAAAATTCCTTGATTTGTGAGGTGAAAGGGAAAAACATTCTGGAAATGTCAGAGAGCAGATCAACAATAGAGATCTGATGGGATACTTGATGGGATACTTGATGGAATAGTTTTTTTTTTTTTTTTATCAGAGTCATCTTTTCCCAAAACAGCACTTTTTGTCTATTAGGAAATTCTTAGGATGCTGGGATTTTCTTGGTTATACACTTAGAATTTTCCTTTGTTTAAAAATTTGCCAGAGTGCATTGGAATCTTGAGTTAGCCACGATGACACTCTGTGGTATCATAGCACAAGTTCTGTTCTTGCATTAATCTATTACTTGCATTCAAATGTCAGAGGCACACATGCAGACATTTGGATCACAATACATATTTCATGCCGCCCACCCTACTTCTGCCAGAGAATTTTTACAGTGGAGCCAGCACTGATTTGCTTTACAATAAAGGTCACATCCTATGTGTTTTTTTTAAACTAATGAACCATCTTTCTTGGATGGAGATTATTTGGTTTACAATTTTTAATCTCATGAATAATGGAACTGAGCTGAACTCTCCATTTATCTATTATGACCAAAGCTCAATGTGTCAATTTTAGGTTTTTCTCCCTATGATGGCATCATTTTATAATGCACAGAACCAACTTTAATGGAGCCCAAATTTAAGTAATCAAGATTTTTACTATTCTCAAATATGTATCTAGATATAGTATTTGAGTAGTTTTGCAGAAAATTACATGAAAAAGGAAATAACTTTATCCTGAGGGGTGTGTGTGTGTGTATGTATGTATGTGTCTATACTCACACACACACACACACACACACACACACACACACACACATACATACACTATTCTTGCTTTTCTAACGTAGTACTCTTTGTCTAGGAAATCACCTTTCCTAAGATGGTGGCAAACTGCTGTCGTTTTCTATGTTATTTTTGCCGCATCAGCAGACAGAATCAGAAAGCTATGTTCGACCATCTAAGCTATCTTTTGGAAAACAGCAGTGTTGGCCTTGGTAAATATGTATTATATTTTCCCTCCATTGCACTACCCGTTTTGTATTTATTGCTGTTAAATCTTTTTGGAATTCACAAATTAATGGTTGCTTTGTATATCCATTCTAAGATGTTTCAAGGCTTCCAACACCTCTTAATAATGAATTATTCTTACTAAATAGTATTACCTGTCAGGCATTGAATTCCCTGGCTGACCATTTATGTAATTTAGCCTGCTTAGAAAGGATGTATTTTTACTGCATCCTCACATCTCCTAAATACTGAAAATGTATGCTTAGTTGGTTTATGGAGTAAAACTTCAATGTACAATAAATACAGGTGTTGTATTATTTGGATGATATTGACTCAACAAAAGCATGGCTGTATATTATAAACTGTAGTTTTCTAATTTGAATCAATTTCATTTAGTTCATTTACTTGCTATATTTTGCTAATAGGATTTTGTGCTGTTTTAACATGATGCCAATTTCTGAAATTTATTTGATAGCTTCTCCTTCCATGCGTGGATCAACACCTTTAGATGTTGCAGCAGCATCGGTAATGGATAATAATGAGCTTGCACTGGCTTTAAGAGAACCTGATTTAGAGAAGGTAAATCATAAATATTATTATAGAATCTATATTTTGTAAGTACGCGTATATTTCTTATCATATAGTAACAACAGTCTACATCCTATTAGCAATGTAATTTTCATATACAAAAACCCCATATATGACAGGACTTACAATTCATACTGTCACCTAGAAGTTTAATAGCTGATTGGTTATGCCAGCAACTCCAGTCAAAAACATTTTGAGATAGGGATCTTATTTTGATATTATGGTGCAATATACAGTAGATTCCCACAGAATCTATGAGTGAAAATGCCAGTGATGGACCACGATTTTGGATACAGCAGTTAACTTAAATGAAACTCCCACCCACCCCCACACACAGGGAGGGAGGGTGGGAGAGAGAGAGAGAGAAGGAAGCTTGGTTTTAGTTTCATCTTAAAAGCACAAAACTCTCTTGGAAGGTAGATCTGTGGACAGAAAATGCTACGAGCCTCTGGGAGCAACACAAAAAACAATAGGAGACAGAAGCACCCATTGTACAATTCATTAAAAAGTGATCACTAGCATAAGATCAATATCGGAACTGTATACAATTTCCAGAATAAAAATAAATTTAGAAATTTTAGTACATTCATTTTTTCTGTAGATGTATTGAGATTGTTAATAAAGGTAAATACAATGAACTATGCTTAAACCAAAGGTTTTTCATAGTGTTGAGGGTAAAGGAGCTAAGCCTATGATGGTACTGTGGACAAAAGGACAGTCTGAGAATTGTAGATGAAGATTTAAAGAACCATGATGGAGAAGAGAGGAAGATTCTAGGAGTATGAAATGTATAATGGGCACACTTCAAATTGGGTAATAAGTTATAAGATGACTATGGAATTTAGTCCTTGGTAAAATATAGATGCATAGAGGGGGAGGGACAAGGGCAGTAAATGCTTCTATTGTTTAATTTTGTCTTGTTCTTAGGTAGTCCGCTACTTGGCTGGCTGTGGTTTGCAGAACTGTCCTTTACTAATTTCTAAAGGCTATCCAGATATTGGATGGAACCCAGTTGAAGGAGAACGATACCTGGATTTCCTTCGTTTTGCTGTTTTTTGCAATGGTAGTGTTAAGATATTACAGTTTTTGAATAACCTTGCTATTCCTAATCAATTATATTTTAACTACATTTATTAATGTACCCAATGAAGTGCTGCTTCTCAGTGTGTTTATGACATCATAGTTTGATAAATGTTTCCTTTTTAACAATCTTCTTAAGTCACTATGCAGCACTAAGAAAAAGCTTGAGAGAAAACTGGAATCATTCATTGAATCTTCCCTACCCAACACCATTGGCATCTCCTTTCCCAACTTCATCCTTCTGTGTTGAAAATCTGTATGAAGCTCAGTTTATCCATTTTGTTTCTCCTCTCATATTCCAGTACATGCCTCATAACTTTGCTAACTTCAAATATTCTGACATCCATCTCTGATTTGTCTGTTGTGTACTGTCGTTTCTGGGTGCTGACTTCAAGTCAGATATAAAACGTGCTGAAATACAATTATTAGGAAGTAAGAGAGAAGAGGCAGAAGGCTCTTCTAATGTGGTGGCTGGAATAACTTGTAGTTTTGTTATCTGAGACTGTTTTGGATACTGATAAAGTGGATGGAGTTTCTCATAGTTTAACTGTTTAATTCAGTCCTTAAAGTTTGCTTTTGGGTTAGAGATAGTGGAGCTTCCAACACAATGTAGGTTCTCTCTCCTTGCTAATATAGTTGTCAAATTTCAAAATGAATAAATCTATCTATATCTATATCTATCTATCTATCTATCTATCTATCTATCTATCTATCTATCTATCTATCTATCTATCTATCTGTTTGGGGAGAAATATTGGGCTTCTTTGTCATATGTTATAGAAACTAATTCCAGATTTATGGCTTCATCAAGTACTTAAGTTTCTATATGATTGTAGGTGAGAGTGTTGAAGAAAATGCTAATGTGGTGGTCAGACTACTCATTCGACGGCCTGAATGTTTTGGACCAGCACTGAGAGGTGAAGGTGGAAATGGCTTGCTTGCTGCAATGGAAGAAGCCATAAACATATCAGAAGATCCTACAAGAGATGGCCCTTCATCAGCTAATGGATCCACTAAAACATCGTAGGTAGAATAGAAATGTTTATTCCTTGAATAAAATGCCTTTTAGGAACCATTGTTTCTAAAATGAAGTGCATGGTGCTGGTCTATGACATTAATAACATTTATTGATTTGAAATTCTATTAGGCCTATCACTAAGCCTAGTACATTTCTTAAATATAATATCTAATGCTAATTTGTGTTGAGAATTTTAATGACAATATGTTATTTATGATAAAAATGACAAGAATCTTCTGTTACTATAAATATAAACCCTCAAAATTGGAAGAATATCAGTATATGGACTTAAAAGCATTTTATTAGACATATATCCTGTTTATATCCTATCTGTCTATCCATAAGTAGATAACAGATAGGCAGCTAGTGTTTAATCACTACCCTGCGTAATTTAACTTATATGTTATAATTTCCATGTGTTCTAAACTTCTTATGGCATAGATCCTTTTACTGACATGGATTTTTCTGTTTACTAGCTATTATAATTGTTGAGCAAATAGTCTTCCCGCTGTTTTCAGATAACATTTTTTGTCCAGGTTGAATCTGCACTCTGATTGCCAACAACATCCCAGCATCATTCCCTTTGTAATTTAAACTATAGAGATTTGATATGGGTAATTATTGCCAAAAAGCTCCTTAAACATTTATATTTATGTGGAGTGGCAGTTAGAAGTTAATATGGTTTCATATCTTAGAGATGAACTTTCTTTAAATGAGTGGAGGTGAATTTATCTTTAAAATGAAGCGGCTTAGAAGAAACAGAAAAGGAAAGTTTTACTTTTTTCCGGCAAGACATATCTGAGCTAAATCTTTTCTAAATGGGGGAGATTAAATGCGTGCTCAAAAGTTAATCATATCTTCACTTCGTAGATTATTCCCCAAATATTCAGAGGATATTTCTATTCCATTCCCAACTCTTCCCTCCCTCCCTCTCTCACATCCACGCACACATTTATATTTATAGTCTGGCATAAATTTTTATCATTTGTATACCATATTTGAAAAATAGAAAATATAATATTCTATTATATAAAATATTAAATGCCTATAAGGAATAAATAAGATTCATTGTGACTGTGGGCAGGTGGTTTATGATATAAAATATATATTAGAGACCTTATATATCTCCCCCCTCCCCAAATCCCACCAAACAAAAAGCCCTCTATTTTGTACTATTTTAGAACAAGGACTTAAAATTAGTGTAAAACTTTCGCTATAATTCTGCTTGTCTGAGCACTAAAATCTGAGCTTTAACTGGTTATGCCAAGGCTTGAACATAGGTATGACTAAAGATATACTATATAACAGATTTAATACAGACGTTGTTATTCCTTCACTATTTTTTAATTTCTTTGAAAAACTGAACAGAAGTGAAGTAGAAGAGGATGATACAGTTCACATGGGAAATGCCATCATGACTTTTTATGCTGCTCTGATTGATCTCTTGGGACGCTGTGCTCCAGAAATGCATGTAAGTATTCATGTACTTATTATTTTTGTTGAATTTATAACATATCTCTGTTAATGAATAATGTGAAACAGAATGTGTGATTCTTCATCCTTTTCCCAATTCCTGAATTCATGGACTTTTGTATATGAGATACTGGTACCCATGAACAAAAAGATATACCAATAAATTCTGGGTAGTGACATGGTTTGCAGAAGTATGAAATCTTCAGTAGTATCAATGTTATCTCTGTGAAGCCTAGTAAAGATTTAATGTTGTAGATTATTAAGTACTGAGAGGAAAGTTATAATAATAAAGTAGGAGATACAATTGAATACATGGAAAAATAAGTATTCTATGAACCTCATGTTATATTTGTGTTGATATAGATAACTTCAAATTTCATATAGACATGCTAAAATTCAAAATGTTATTGTAGATGGAATTTAGGAATCAACATACCTACTTATTGCCTGACAGTAAGATAGGTGGCATATAAATGTAATAAATGAAAAGACTCTACTTCACTTGGACCACCAGATTTCTTGATTGGATGTTGTATGGGGAAAAGAAAAAAAAGAACATGAGTATAAATAGATATTTGTGTGGTAGTGGTAGTTGAATGGAATAAAGTAACTTAAGCTAGAATAGAATCACTTCATATTCTAGCCATAGGGAAATTAAATATGTAATTTGACTTTTTATAAATGTGAATTTCTCATTTCTGTCTTTTTTGATATAGAAATGATAAAAATGACTGTTAATATTATTGCCTCTTCAGATCCTTCAGGGGAAAATTTACCATGAGAATGGCACCTCCTTTTAATAGTGCATCATTGGAATATGATATCAGGGCCATCTTTAAACAAATGTTCAGCTCTATGACATTTCAAGTTATATTGTATATTATATTAATTCAAAGAATTATTATCTGGAGCACATGCATTTATAGTTAGCTTATTCATAGAATTCTTATGTGTAAGACTATATCTGCATTCTTTGATTGCTGCATTCTTTGATTGCTGCATTCTCATACAAGCCATCTAAATACTTAATTGCCTTATTCTGTTAGCTCATCCATGCTGGCAAAGGGGAAGCCATTAGAATCAGATCTATTCTGAGGTCCTTGATTCCTTTGGAGGACTTGGTGGGTGTAATTAGCATTCCTTTTCACATGCCAACAATAGCAAAAGGTAAGAAAGTTTTTCTTCCTATTATTTATTATGAGTGACTTGATTATTTCTTCTTCATCATGTGTGTAGAAATAATTCTCTCTCTCTACTTCCTGCTTCTTCCCCCCCCCTTTTTTTTTCAGATGGCAATGTTGTAGAACCTGATATGTCAGGCGGATTTTGCCCTGATCACAAGGCAGCGATGGTATTGTTTCTTGACAGGGTCTATGGAATTGAAGACCAAGATTTTCTTCTACATCTATTAGAAGTTGGCTTTCTACCAGATCTTCGTGCAGCTGCTTCTTTAGATACGGTAACAAGTAACTTTTAACTTTACTTAATTAGTGTTTTCTGTTTTATTCGGATTTATCCTGTGCATAAGTTTTGATAATTTTAAATACTTTTAAAATGATGGGTTAGTGTTTTCAGTTAAGGCTGAGCAACACTTTGGATTCAAAGGGAACAAGGTGTGGGAGCCTTCATGTACCCCAATCTTCAGTTCCTCAAGGCAACGGTGATTTATCTTGGAGTTCCATGGCTGTCTTTTGTATTTGCTGAATTATTCTTGGAAAAGAAACATTCTGTTTACAGCTTTTTAGACCTGGGAGCTCAGGTTTCAAGTTTAGTAGATAGTTTAAAGTGAACACAGTTTCTCAGTGTTAATTTACCTTAAAAATGACATTTAGGTTAGTAGAGAGAATGAATGAGGACTCCTTGCATTTTGTATTATATAATATTCCTCTTATACAAGTGGGTTTTGAAGTTGAAACCTTGACATAGCAACATGGACATCCAGTTTTAAACTATAATTAAAGCACAAATGAAATATTCAAATGAAGTTACCTCTGTCTGATTAAATATCTGATTGTTATTGCATAAGATCATGCGCAAATAACTCTAATAATAGGCTAAATCCAGTGCTGTGCCATCACTGCTACTTCAAAATGAATGCAATTTTAATATGGGAATAATAAAACAAATGATACGTTTTAATTATTTCTACTGCAGAAATTGGGGCAACCATGAGATAGCCAAACGATGCAGAAAACCTTATCGCCATCTAGTGGTCCTTCAGTGTTTGCATTCTTAATTTTAATGAAGACTGGAATAAAGAAAAAAAAATATATAAAATTTTATATATTTCACATTCTTAGCAGCTCTGAAAAGGCTTAGCTCAAACATACTGCAACTGTATCATTTTTGTGCAGCAAAATATCTGAACTGCTTTATAATTTGTTTTATAGGTTGCCCTGAGTGCCACAGATATGGCCCTGGCTCTCAATCGGTATCTTTGCACTGCAGTTTTGCCTTTATTAACAAGATGTGCTCCTCTTTTTGCTGGAACAGAACATCATGCTTCCCTTATAGATTCCTTGCTACATACTGTATATCGGCTTTCCAAAGGCTGTTCTCTTACCAAAGCTCAGCGGGATTCTATTGAAGAGTGCCTACTCTCCATTTGTGGGTAAGGATGGGTTAGACAGCATGGGTGGAGAGAGAAACACTAAAATTAATGTCTGCAAGATATTATTCTTTTTTAAAATATATTTTTATTAAGAATTTTGATTACAATAGCCTAACCTATTACAAAACTACACTAAGAGAAAGAAAACAGAAAAAGTATAAGGACAAGGAAAACAATATACTAAAGCAGAAGAAAAGAAATATGTAAAGAAGAGATTTTCAAGCTTCATCACATCAAGTGTAAACAAATTTAATAACTTTTCACCTCCTATAAGGTTAAACAGATATCTCTTCATTCATACCCTATTCCTTATCTATAAGTAAGTCAATAAAACATTAATCCTGGTGTCAGCAAAAATTCCATAAAGGGCTGCCAAAACTTTGCAAAAATGTCTTATTTTACCCCTGATCAAATAAACCAGCTTTATATTTCTTCTTTTTACTTCTACAGTCTTTAATTCAATCAAATAATGTAGAATTTTCAGTTCTTCTAATTTCTTTAAGGCTTTAACAAGCGGTAAGCTTGGAACTTTGAAAAAATGCCTTTCTCGGAGTTGTGTTATTGGAGTTTGTTTTTCTGGAACACTGACGCAAGCTTCTTTTGTAAATCCACTGGATTTTGCTAATCCAGTAAGAAAATATTTTAATAGCTAATAGCTTTAAACTGTACAGTAAGCCATTTCAAAGAAATCATTACAAAGTAAGGCTTGCAAACTTCGTGTCCTTTAAAAGGATTGCAAGCATGGTGGCTGATCCCTTCATTGTCCAGTACTCAAACCTGTAGAAAATTGCTATCCTGCAGTCTCCTCACAAGAAGCAATTGTCCATAGCACATGTGGTTAATCTCCTGTTTTTCTTATCCAAAAAGTTTCCAAGGAACTGGTCTACTGCCCGGTTTCTTCATTTTGCAATGGTCATTAGTTCCAGAGACATTATTCAGCCTACTATAACCTCCCCTAGAAGTCCTGTAATTCTTGAGGCTGTTGCTTGCTTGAAAGAAAAACAAATTAGCTTCTTTTAGGAAACATGTAGAGAGCATGTTTTTACAATAGTAGATAAAAAGATACTCTGCTAACTGTATTGTATCTGTTAAGCCAAGAAGTCAATAATTTCATGTATGCAGAAAGCTTGTGCAGCAGGAATTGAATTCCATAGGATGTAGGATTGATAGTAAAATGAATCAACAGATCAAAAGTATCTGCAATTACTTCAACTACTACCCTGAAATAAATACCAGGTATTACTAATATATAATGATTACAGTAATAATAAAACAGATTCCAGGACTGATATTGTAAAAATACTGTAACATCTAATTAAAAAATAATTTCTGAGGTATCCTCAAATGAATGAGCATTTGCTAAGACAGAATATATAGTTAGTTGATTAATAAATTATCCACAAGGTCAGCAGTGAAAAACAAGAGTTAGTTAAAATCTAAAATAAATTGTTAGACACTGCTGGGAGGAAGGGATATATTTATCTCAGTATGCCTGCTTAATAAACTCCAAATATGAAATACAGGATTTATAGTTTTTTACTGCATTACCAAAGACAACATAACTTTTGTTGAAAGAAAATAACTTCATACAAAAGGATAAAGGTGAATAATGTTAAAAGAAAACAACTGAATATGAATTCGGCATTTTTATTACCTCCCTCATTGTTTTATCCCACACTGACTTTTTTTCAAGCATGAGTCTGAACATATTTTATATCCATATTTCATGTACTGTTATCTTTTAATCAGAAATACTGATTAAACTGTAGTGATTACAGATTACTCACTTACATAATCACAATAATGGTTACAAATCTATGTTGTACTGAAGCTTTTTTTCTACTTGATAGTCAGCTAAGACCTTCAATGATGCAACATTTGTTGAGAAGATTAGTATTTGATATCCCTCTTCTAAATGAACATGCCAAAATGCCTCTTAAGGTAAGTTTGCTTTTTATAAAATATACAATTAATGCCATTAGGCATCACCTATCAGAAGAAACTGCTGATATGATGATTTACCTATAAAGTAACAATATTGGCCAATCATGGTCAATATTACAGCCAGTGTAATATTCAAACCCTAAATATAGGATGATCACAAAAATAATGTCATGGTTATTCTTTTTTAAAAATTTTTTGATTGGTTTTTAAAATGAACATAAACAAACAAAACATAAAAACATCAAGCCATCTTCCATATATATATATATATGTTTTCTGAGGTTCTCGCGGGTATTTATATGTGGATCTTTGGTTGTTCGGGTTTTCTCCCGCGTAAGATTCGAAGTATCTAGGCAACGTTTCGATGAAGTCTCATTCATCATCTTCAGGCTTCTGTCTCCGGCTCTGTGCTTCTCAGAGTAATGTGAGATTGCAGCTGCTTCCTCCTTTTAACTGCCAGTGGGGGTGGGACTTGATTCAGTGGGGGCTTGGCTGTGTTCTGATTGGGTGGGGGTGTGTTCTCATTGGTAGGGGGTTTGGCTGTGTTCTGATTGGTTGGGGGGTTAGCCGTGTTCTGATTGGTTGGAGGCGTGTTCTGTTTAGGTGGAGGCTTGGTTGTGCTCAGGTTAGTCTTAGTTGCTGGGGGATTTGAGCTGGTGAGTTGTGATCTTGCTGTTTGGCTTCTAGTTCGTGGTCCTGCTGCTGAAGGACACCAGACCCACACCCATGAGAGCCACACAAGATGCCACCACCACACTTCCATGTAGAAAACAGACTCCCACCCACCCAGAAGATGAGACACGACCCTGGACCAGAAGCTTCACTGCAGCTGCATCACTACCCACTTTAAACCCCTCCAAGCCATACATGAAGCAAACCGACACCCACTATGAAGATGCAGCAGGACCACGAACTAGAAGCCAAACAGCAAGATCACAACTCACCAGCTCAAATCCCCCAGCAACTAAGACTAACCTGAGCACAACCAAGCCCCCACCTAAACAGAACACGCCTCCAACCAATCAGAACACAGCTAACCCCCCAACCAATCCGAACACAGCCAAACCCCCTACCAATGAGAACACACCCCCACCCAATCAGAACACAGCCAAGCCCCCACTGAATCAAGTCCCACCCCCACTGGCAGTTAAAAGGAGGAAGCAGCTGCAATCTCACATTACTCTGAGAAGCACAGAGCCGGAGACAGAAGCCTGAAGATGATGAATAGACTTCATCGAAACGTTGCCTAGATACTTCGAATCTTACGCGGGAGAAAACCCGAACAACCAAAGATCCACATATATATATGTATGTATGTATGTATGTATGTATGTATGTATGTACAATTTGCCGGTTGGTTTACAAATTGTTTTGTGCCTCCATTTCGTAGTCTTCAATTACAGTTACATTGTATATATTCTCATATTTTCAATCAAGTATTAAATACATTAATATCATTGTTAATCAATCATTTGACTATACTTTTATTCATTCATATTTTACGGAATAATCATATTTTACTTAATTTGTTTTATGACAGTTCATATTATCATCTCAAATCTATCCTACAATCATTTTGTAGATATAATAAGAAAAGAATACATCTTTACATCTTTATTATTTTCTAAGAATCTACATATTTCATTACCGTGTTTTATTGTCTAACCATTGATAGAATAGATCCCAAATTTTATAAAATTGTTCATCATCTTGTTCTCTGATTTCAAATGTCAATCTACTCATTTCAGCACATTCCAATATTTTCCTAATGATTTCCTCCTGTAATGGTATTTTTTCATTTTTCCAGTTTTTAGTAAATACAATCCTAGCCGCTGTTAATACATTTACAATCAGGATTTCAAATCATTACTATATATTTCAGGTAAAATTCCCAATAAAAAGATCTCTGGTTTCAAATCTATATGCTTTTTTGTCATTTTTTCCAACTACGTGTGGATTTTAGTCCAATATTTTTTATCATCCACACAAGTCCACCACATATGGTAATATGAGCCAGGTGTCTGATGACATTTCCAACATTTTTCAGATTTGTTCTTGAACATTCTTGCTCTTCTTGTTGGGGGAAAATGCCACTTGTAAAACATCTTATACAAATTTTCTTTGTATGCTGTTGACATTGTCATTTTATAATTTTGAGACCACAGTTTTTGCCATTTCTCTAGATCAATCCCATATCCAAAATTCTTCCCCCAAGCAATCATTGTTTCTTTAACTTGTTATTCTTCTAGTTTAATTTCTAATAAATATCCAGACAATTTTTTAATCACCTTTTCATCAGTACCTGTCAAAATCTTATCTAAATCAGTCAGTTTATCATAGAAACCTTCTGTTTTAGAGTCTTTATCATTCCTTGAATGTATTTGCGCATATGAAAACCAATTCATCTTTATACCTTGTTCCTCTAATTTTTGTATAGATTTAAGTTCACCCTTTTCATTCAATATTTCACCATATCTAACTGTTTGTTCCTTTTTATATATTATAGGATAAGAAAATGCTTCAATAGTCGATAGCCAGACTGGAATTTTCAAATAACATTGTCTTTTAGTCTTCTCCCAGTTTAACCACAGAGACTCCCATATATAATGTCTTCTAAAATACCCTTGTGTTTTAGTTCCTTTATACCATAGAAAAGCATGCCACCCCAACAACAGATTGTCCTTCTAATGTCAACAATCTAGTATTTCTTAATGTTATCCATTGCTTAATCCACATCAGATTTGTAGCTTGGTAGTACAACTCCCAATTAGGCAAACCAAATCCTCCTCTTATTCTGGCATCTTGCAAAAGTTTTAACTTTATTCTCGCTTTCCTACCTTGCCATATATATTTCTACACAATTTTATTTAAATCTTCAAAGTAATCTTTCCCAAGCTTAATTGGAATTGTTTGAAACAAATATAAAATTCTGGGTAATATATTCATCTTGATTGTTGATATTCTCCCTATTAATGACAGTTGCAAATTCTCCCATTTCATCAAATCTAGCGTTATCTGCTGCTTAAGTTTGATATAATTATTCTCTTTTAGTGTACTGCATCTTGCTGTCAAATGTATCCCCAAGTACTTGATCTTATTCGTGACCTGGATTTTCAGTAGATCTGCCAGTTCTTCCTTTTGTCTTGATAGCATATTCTTTGTCAAGATCTTTGTCTTATCTTTATTTATTTTCAAACCAGCCACCTTTCCATATGTCTCTATCTTTTCTATCAATTTTAATGCTGTTTCTAGTGGGTCTTCTAAAATGAAAACCAGATCATCTGCGAACGCTTGCAGCTTAAATTCTTCCTTTTTAATTTTCATCCCTTTTATATCCTTTTCTTCTCTAATATTTTTGTTAAGCATTTCCAAGGTTAACACAAACAACAGAGGTGATAGTGGGCACCCTTGTCTTGTTCCTTTTCTTATATCAATAGAGTCTGTCAGTTCTCCCTCTATCATTACCCTTGCCGTTTTCTTATGATATATAACTTCTATTGCTTGAATAAATTTTTTAGCAAAGCACATCTGTTCCAGTTGTAATAACACGAATCACCAATTCACATTATCAAATGCCTTCTGTGCATCTAATTTCAGGGTGTGCCTTGTAGTATTCCAAAGTGTCCAAGGTTACTCTCATATTATCTTTAATTTGTCTCTTTGGCAGAAATCCATTTTGATCAGGATGGATAAAATTGTTTAAGTATTTTTTAAGTCTTTCTGTCAGTATTGAAGCAAAAATTTTATAATTTTCATTTAGTAAGGAAATAGGTCTATTGTTCTTGATTTGTAATAGATCGGCCTCCTCTTTTGGGACATGTGTAATATAAGCTTCTGACCATGATTTAGGTATCTTCTTCTTTAACATAACTTAATTCATAACTTCTAGCAATGGAAGGTTCAACGATTGTTGTAGTGTTTTATAAAATTCTGCTGGAAGTCCATCTGGGCCTGGTGGCTTTCTATTATTTTGCTTCTTGAGTGCTTCAGTTAACTCCATCATCGTTATATTGTTTTCTAACATTGTTTCAATCTTTTGGTATCTGGGATAAATTAGCATTCTGTAAATACTATTTAACTCTTTCCTCATCAATATTCTCTTGTGTGTATAGTTTCCCATAATAGTCTTGTATGATTTCCTTCTTCTCTTTACTACCATAGCAAACTTGGCCTTGGTCATCTATTAATTGCAATATTTTCCTTGATTCTTTCTCCTTCCTCAATTTATATGCTAACCATCTACCTGGTTTATTTGCATCTTCAAAGTAGCTCTATTTAGCACCTCTGATTTTCTGTGCTAATTCTTCTTTTTCTATTAGACCCATTTTATGTTTAATTATATCCATTTTTAACTTAATGTCCTTTTTCTGTGGCATTTTCTGTAGCTCTTTTTCAAGTCCTTTATACTCATCCTCTAATGCCTTAGAGGCTAGTCTTTTCATGGTATTTCTTTTCCTTGTGTAGTCTATTATCAAGCCTCTAGCGTATGCCTTCATTGTATCCCATACGTTCTGAATTGATATATCTTCTTTTTTTGTTTTCTCTAAAGAAAAAAGCCAATTCTTTCTCCATCCACTGTGTGAAGTCTTTTTCCTTTAAAATAGTATTATTTAATGTCCATCTAGATCTTCTTCTTTGTCCTTTCCATTTAATTGTCATTGGATTGTGATGTGCCCAAGTACTTGTTTCAATATTTATTTCTTGAATATTAGTTAACAATTCTGTTGACATCCATATCATATCTATTCTGGACCATGATAAGTGTCTATTTGAGTAGAAGGTGTATTGTTTAGTTTCAGCATTTCTTTCTCTCCATGTATCTTTTAAGTTTATTTCATCTACCATTTTAAAAAAAGATTTAGGGAGAGTCTTTCTGTTTTGCTTTGTTGTTTTCTGTGCTGTATAGTCCAGTTTATTGTCTACAATTCCACTAAAATCTCCCATCATAACTATATTAGCATAGTCCAGTTCAATTGTTTTCATATGTAATTTTTTATAAAATTCTTCTTGATTGTCATTCGGGGCATAGATTGCAATCAGGAGTGTTTTCATATTTTTGTCCATTATTTCCACCATTAGTATTCTTCCGTCGTCATCAGTATAAATCAATTTCGCTGGGATGGTCTCTTTAATACATAAAACCACTCCTCTTTTCTTGCATTGTGTCAAGGAAGTAAATATTTTTCCTAATTTTGGCTGTATCAACAATTGTTCATATTGCTTTTTAATATATACTTTTTGTAGGCAGATTATATTAAATTTTAATTTCTCTAATTTATGGAAGGTTTTCCTTCTTTTAACGGCTGAATTAAGTCCATTTATATTAATTGTAATCAATTTTTTCTCTTCCATGGTTATATTTTGTATTTAGGTTTCACAGCTCTCGTGGATCATGGTTCACGTTGTTCTTTGTGTTCCACCTTTCCACCTATTGCGCCTTCTTCTTTTTCAGTCACCATTTGGCAGTCCTCTTGGAATTCAATTAGTGAGATTTCTTTTTCTGGCTCTTCCTCTTTCCCTCTAAAACATTCTGTGTAAAATGATTCAGCTTTCTCAATTGAATCAATTCTATGTCTCTGTTCTTGCCATGTGAACATTAAACCTTCTGGAATCAGCCATCTATAATTCACCTCTTTTTTAAGGAGCATTTTGGTCAGGAATCAGTATTCTCTTCTCATCTCTCTCACTCTTCTGGGTACTTGTTTCAGGACCACAATCTCCTTGTCTTTATATTTCAATGTTTTCTCTCTTGCCACTTGCAATATTTGCATTTTAATGGCTTTCTTTGTAAATCTGATGTGAACTTCTCTTGGTAAGCTATTTCTCATTGCATATCTTGTGAAGACTCGATAAACCTCATCTATTCCATCCATCATCTTCTCTTCAGTTATTTCCAAAGCTTCAGCCAAAATTTATATCATTATCTCAGCTAGGTTTTGTCCCTTTTCTTCCTCTATGTTTTGGAATCTGAGATAAAATTCTGATCTGTCCATCTCCCATCTTAGCATCCCACTTTTATCTTGTTCAACCACAGTTAATCTGCTATGAATATCTCCAATCTTCTTATCTCTTTGTTTGTCGTCTTCTTCAGTTTTTTGGAATATCTCATCATACTTCATTATCATTTGTTGAATGGTCTCCACCTTTTCATCAGTTTTCCCTGTTCTTTGTTCAATGTTCTCTGTTCTCTTTTCAATATTCTCTGTTCTTGTTTGAATATTTTTAATTCCTTGCATAATTATCTGCAGGGTTACTTTTTCCTGTTCTTTTTCTTGCTTTAACATTGTCTGTATTGAACGTTGTCCTCCAGATGGTGAAGAGGAAGAAGTAGAAGTTGAGGAATCAGGGTCTGTTAGTTTCCAATTCATTTCAGACAATTCAAAATCTTGAGGTTCTTCTAGACCTTAATCCACTTGTGAAATAACCAATTGCAATTCCAAATAAAAATAGTAGGAAAAAAGAAACCAAATAGTAGTAGTAATAATAGTAATAGTAGTAGTAGTAATAATAATAATAATAATAATATTTCTTCAGGTTCTTGTATACCTTAATCCAATCGGTTGGCTTGATAGCAGTAAAAACTCAAAAATGGAAGAAAAGACCATAAACACACACAAAAATAAAAAATTGTTAAATTCTCAAAAAGACAGAAAAGTAAAAAGTAAAAAAAGTAAAAAAGAGAAAAGGAAAGTTCTTCAGGTTCTTCAATACCTTAATCCAATTAAGAGGTCTCAGGTATAAAGGATGCATATAAAAAAAAAGCCACAAAAAAACCCCCAAACCCAATATGGAGGGTAAAAAAAAAATACAAGGGAGGGAGAGAGAAAAAAGAAAAGAGACTACTCCCTTAAAAAGAAAAGGAAGGAAATCATTAATACTAAAGCTTTTCCTTTAAAATAAAATGCAAATGTAAAAAATTTGACTTCAAAAAACAAAAAGAAAGACAAAAACAAGTTCCAAAAGGCCAAAAATCCAAATAGCTATTACAAAAAGTAAACTGGTAAGGAGCGGGTTTGTTAAAGTAGGAAATAGCATAGCTTTAAAAAAAATAAAAAGAGCACACTGTACCTTGTTTGGTTATCCAAGGCTTTTGTTAAAATTTTTAATTCTCTTCTCCAGAGTCTTATCACCCTTTTTCCCCCTATAAGCTTCAACACCAGACTCCAGCTGTTGATAGAAACCCAGAAGAGCACCTGCAATAATACTCTCCCATGCTCTTCCCTCTATCTTACCAAATAGCAATGTCCTTGAGAAGAAGTCTCAGTTCTTTCTCAGCTTTGTCTGGTCAAGAAAAGGAAATAGAATATTTCCAAGCCTCTAGTTGGCAGTGTTACAAAGTTTCTTTGCTTTCACTTTCCCCCTCCTTTTCCAAACAAAATATAATAAAAATTAATTAAACAGGGAAAAAGATGTTTAAAAACATGACTAAGTCAAAAAGGAGAGAAAGAATAGGTGAAAGAAGAGAAAAAAAAAACAGTTCAGTTTCAAAATATAAAATCCTGTGTAGAAAATCCAGCAAAGAGAAAAAAATAAAAATATTACTTTGACATTCCTTTTTAAAATCGCCACTTAATCACTTCTGTCAAAACTTTTACAGATTCTTTCTTTTCCTTAGGATGTCCTTTCAAATCTTAAAATAAAGAAAAAGTTCTCACCAAACCGGCACACTTTCTCTTTCCATTCTGTTTCGTTTCGGAGCTGTCCCAACTTCAGCAGCTTTAATGGCTGCCTCTTTGCCGCTGGGAAAAAGAGCTTCTCCTGGATCTACCAGGGACTTTGTGGTATCCCTGGGATCGACAGGATGTGCTCTTTACATTCACTGTCTCTAGAGGACGGTTTAGATCCGATTGGACCGTCCAGGAGCAAAGATATCGGCAGCGATCTCAGATCTCCAAGATCGCATGCCGTATCGTTGCGATGCCAGCTCCTCCCTCTCATCATGGTTATTCTGGTATTCTTTCAGTTCCGCTTTGATAGTTCAGTTGTGATTCAAAGCTGGATACAATTTAATATTTCTTATTTCAATAATACTTACAAAAAGCTACATACTGTAAACATTGAAAGCAGACTTTGCCTAAGGCTTGCTGTATATAAAGGATGTGCAGAAATGGAAAATGAAGTAATTGTCTCAGCTGGAGACAGGAGAAAATATTTGTCTTACCTTCATATATACAAATTGTATGAACGCTATTTAGAAGACCTACTTTATTCACTATTTTGGAAATTCTCTCCCATACAGTAGAGTGTTTTCCCAAGACCTATCAGTGATTAAAATGATTCAAATCTTATTAAATAAGATATGCATAGGATTGGAGATAATCTAGAGATAATGGAAATAATTATTTGCTGAATGTTTAACTTAAAGAAAAAAAATCCAAAATCCTTATACTAATTTAACAAATAATAGATTAATTCTGTCGTAATTGTTATTGGGTTGAGATAATTACTTTAATATTTATGTCACTTACCTGTTGCAATATCTGTGCATTTAAAGTGATTATATGTAGTACCTCACCAAATAGGCAGTGCCTTGTCAGAAAGCAAACTCTCATGTTTCTTTTTTAGTTGCTGACAATTCATTATGAAAGATGTTGGAAATATTACTGTTTACCAGGAGGGTGGGGCAACTTTGGCGCTGCATCAGAAGAAGAACTTCATTTGTCCAGAAAGCTATTCTGGGGTATTTTTGATGCCTTATCTCAAAAGGTAACATTTTAGGATGTGATATATTAATATGTATTAATCACATATAAATTATTACACTTCATGATGAATATGCAAGAGTGCATATTAGAAAACAAAATTAAAATGATGCTTAAATATACCTTTTTAAAAATTAATTAGCTAGCAAATTACTTTAATAAATGTTTATCCTATTCTGTAACTTTGTTGCCTTTAATAGAATAATTATATTAAATGAAAAATTTGCAACAGTGGTGAATATTCCATTTGTGCTAGCAGTGTGAGGTAGAGATAAATATGAGCAGGCTAAATATAAATAAAAGTGGATTTCATTTTTTTTTAATTTAACATAAATTCCACCTTTTATTTGGGAGCACAAAGTGGCTTCTGTTTTCTCCAGCACAAGAACCCTGTGAGGTAGGTGAACCTGAAATATGGTGACTGGCCCCAGATCACCCAGTGAGCTTCTATAGCTGAAGGTGGCCAAAACCTGTAATTCCAAGCTTCTATTCAAGTACTTTAATCACTATATCATAAATAAATGCCACATTGGCTCTCAGAAATTCTTCCATTGATTATTGTTGTTAATGTTTAGTATGTCATAGGGAAAGATTCTAGTCCTCAGGAAACTCAACTGCTAGTTAGAAGTATCATCCTAACCTTAGAATTGAAAAATATCGATTCAACTGACAATTGCAACTAACTCAGCAGACTATTAAACCTAAAAACTAGTTTTTTTGCAACTAACTCAGCAGACTATTAAACCCCTCTAAATCAACATTTGAACAAACGTTTGCCTGATTAAAATACTTAACTACTAATCTATCTGCAGACTATGAAGTATCTCTTGTTTCTTTTTCATTTTTTTCCTGGTGTTATCAATATTTGTCAAATACAACAAGGCTCAGCCTCTATAGGAAACACTATCCCAATGGACTTGATGGCTCTTGCCTCTAGTGCGGGGGAGGGACTGAGCTGAATTCCCTTGGGAAGTGTGGCTTTGTTTTAGTTAGAAAGCCTGAAGTAGTTTAACTTAAAGTAAACTTAATTAATGGGAAAAATCCACTAAATATAATAATGGTAGTGGTAATAGAACACTGAGACCTTTCCCAGATAAATGGAAGTTTTCTTAATTTTTTAACCAGGGTTTTTTGCATCCTATTTTGTCTTTATAGAAATATGAACAAGAACTATTCAAATTAGCACTGCCATGCTTGAGTGCTGTAGCTGGGGCTTTACCTCCTGATTACATGGAATCAAATTATGTTGCTGTTTTGGAAAAACAGGCTTCCATGGATTCAGATGGGAACTTCAATCCACAGCCTGTTGATACTTCAAAGTAAGGATGTTTTCATAGCCTGTATTGAGTTGAGCATAACTTTTAAAATAATATGAAATAGCAATAGCAGTTAGACTTATATACGATTTCATAATGCTTTATAGCCCTCTGTAAGCAGTTTATAGAATCAGCATTTTGCCCCCAACAATCTCGGTACTCATTTTATTGACCTTGGAAGGATGGAAGGCTGAGTCAACCGTGAGCCTGGTGAGATTCAAACTGCCAAATTGCAGGCAGCCGGCAGTTAGCAGAAGTAGCCTGCAGTACTGCATTCTGACCACTGCACTTCTACAGCTCATAATATGAATATAGTGTTATTTTCTTTGGTGCTGTTAAACCATCTACTTCTGTTGCTATAAAAATGTATTTGTCATAAACTGTCATTCTTCCTTAACTATTTATTAATGAAGTTTGATTCTCAAATACAAAAAATATTTAAATTATTTAGAAAGAGTATTTCACTTTTGTTTTCTAATAATCATATTGCATTAAGTATAAGTACAATTAGCAATTTAAGTTTCCTTTATATTCAGTGACTGATTATTTCACTTTTTTCAAAATTGTTATAAAGTGGTCCCATACCAGTTTTTGTTCTCTGTGATAACACTAGAATTAGAGAAATGCAAATGCTGATATATTTAAATGATTTTAAGGTAAAATAAATAAATATAAAGAAAAACCTGTCATGAAATACTTATCTTTGCCTTGTTTGTTCTCATTCAGCATTACAATTCCTGAAAAACTAGACTACTTTATAAACAAATATGCTGAACATTCTCACGATAAATGGTGCATGGAAAAGGTAAAGTGTATGTTCACATCTATGCATCATTTGCATCCCTCTTCCTCCCTCCCTCCCTCCCTCCCTCTCTCTCTCTCTCTCTCTCTCTCTCTCTCTCTCTCTCTCTCTCTC